AAAGCTTTGCTTTGCTGGCTCCACGCCAGGGACCTGGAGTGTTGACATAACAGCCGGTCAATACTTCCTTTCCCTCCTTCCCTTTGTTTCTCTGGGTATATATTTGGTTTATTCTGTGTTTTTCCTTACCTGTGCCCCGTTGTGTGTGGGGCCTGTGGGCAGGGCTGTGCCTGCCCCTGTGAGGAGGCCTGCGGGGATGGGGAGGAAGAAGTGCCCTGGGCTGGCAGAGCTCGGTTTGGATTTGCTGATCTCTGCAAAAAATAATTAAAAAAAAGACAGTCTTGTGATCCGGGCTGTGGTTTCTCAGAGGAAACAGCCGCTAGGTGGAAAGCTCGCTCTGTCCTCGCAGCACTGGCTCCTCAGGGGGTGCTTTGGGTCACTTTTGACAGTGTGTCCTGGTGCGGTGAGCTGGAGCTGGAGCTGGAGCTGAGCCTCACGTCTCACGGGGGGGGGAACACTGCGGGAGCTTTTGCCACGCTCTGACTTGGAAAGCCTTGGATTTAAGTGCTGGAAGGGCTGCTTGGAGTGGCACCGGGACGGTGCTGCGGCCGGCTGGGGAGTGGGCTCAGTGATGGGGGAGGAGGAAATGGGGAGAAGAGCTTCTGAAGTCCATCGGTGGAGCAGCCTGGCCAGGGCTGCAGCGGGTGCTGGGCTCTCCCTGCGGGGTGGCCGCGGGTGTTGTGGTTTCCTGCTGCCACCTGAGTCACTGCCAGGCTCCCCGGGCAGCTCTGGCTTCAGTGCTTCCCTTTGCTTGACTGTGATGGGGAAGAGGAGGCAGTGAGGAGGAGGAGGAGGCAGTGAGGGGGAGGAGCTGGCCGGGCACAGCAGGGGAGGATGGCTGGTCGATGGCACCTGCGCTGGGCACAGCCCGGGGCCCTGGGTATGTATGTGGGGGTCCTGGCACTGCCCTGGCCGGGGGGGAAGGCAGCAGCCCTGGCTCAGGCCAGTACTGTGCAAAATTAACTGAGCAGATAAGCGTGAGGACAGTCGGGTTTGTCTCTTCTTTTCTCGTGCACGTGGTTCCCACTTGTCCATAGAGGGAGCAGTGCTTTTTGGTAAGAGAATTGACTTGGACCTGGACCCCAGGGACTGCCTTAGGACTGGGGAGGGAAGTGAGCTCTGAGTTACCATCCTGTGTCCTTTTGTGCTGTGTTTGTGCTGGGTGCTATCTGGGCTCTGCTGCAGGGTGCTGTGCTTGTTGCCTTGACTTTGGCTTTTAAAACCATAAATGAGGACAAACTTGGGGGATGGATTTGGGGACACTGCTCTAGTTTCAGCTCCTTGAACAGGGACTTGTGCCTGGCTGTGCTGGCAGGGCCCTGTCCATCAGCTGAGGGACTTGGCAGGGCTTCAAACTCATGCTTTTTGTAGAAGGAGAATGTGTGAATACAGACAGATTTAAAACCTCCTCTCTCATATATACACTCACACAGTTTTATTGGAAAACACCTGTCACACACTGCTGTGCTGCAGACAAGCCTGTGGCACAGAAACACAGAGTTTCTTTAGTTCTCTGCCAGGGTGAACAGGCCATCCCTGCCCATTCACTCTGTGCTCCCTGGAAGCAGCTCACTGGAAGGGCACTGTAGTGCTTTAATGGAGTTTAATTATTTTTATTGTTGGCTGGCAAATAATAGGTTTGAATTCCTTGGTTTCTCTTGCTCTGGGCTGTCAGTGGGCGCTGCTGGGGCTGCAGCCTGTGCCACCTCTGTGCTTCCACACTGCTCAGAGCCTTGCTGTCCCCAGCACCCTGTTCCCCTTGGCCAGTGCCCTTCACTGGTGTGTTCTGCCCCAGTTTAATGAGCAAACAGGACTGAAAAGTCAAGTAACACCGTGTTCACAGTGAGGTTCAG